TGCTGCCGGCCGGCGTCGGGCGCCGCCACCGTCCGGAGTCGCTCTGTCCCCTGGCTGCCGCCGACGCCCCGCCGCCGCCCGGGGTCGCTCTGTCCCCCAGGCTGCTGCCGACGCCCCGCCGCCGCCCGGGGTCGCTCTGTCCCCCAGGCTGCTGCCGGTGCTGTGGCCCGCTGGCGTCGGGCGGCGGATCGCCGGCGCCCCTGGGCACGTGAGTGATGGCCTGGCCCCGGACGCCAGAGGTCGAAGACTCGCAGGATCGGGTCAAGCCCTGTGTGGAGACGTCTGACCTTTCCTCCCTGGCCTCCCTAGGCCTCCGGGGCCTTGCGTGATCATGACCATGACATGACTCATGGCCGAGACCGTGATCGCCGTGAGAAACCCCGGCGGATAAGCCCCCTGCCACCCAGACGCGTCTCGCGATACTCGTCTGCGCGCCGTCCTCCGGCGGAGGGGGGGGGGGGGGGATGGCGGGCACTGACGAGCTACCCCGATGGACGCAGCCGTCCTTCGACGGAGGGAGACGGTGGAGCCACGACGAGCTACCCTGATGGACGCGGCCGTCTTTCGGCGGGGGGGGGGGGCGGGGGTGCAGCGGAGCCACGACGAGCCGCCCTGATCGGCACAGCCGTCCTCCGGCGGGAGGGGGGGGGGGGGGTATGGCCCCGACGAGTTGCCCTGATGTACTCGGCCGTCCCTGGCACCGGCCCTCAGAGGCGGGCGTGCCCCCGGGTTTCCTGGAGGCTCTTTGTGCCCCTTTGTACAAGAGCCTCCTTGCATGACTCGAGTTTGCAAGGTTGCTGTGGTGTTAACGTCTTTCATTGGGCCCGCGATGTAGAACAAAGACGTTCACCGAACACCCCGCTTCGTATTTGACCTTCTGAATGTCACAATGAGAATGTAGTAGAACCGACTTAATGTAGAATGTGTGAGATCGGAAGACTGGGACCATTATGTAAGGCATAAGCCAACAGTTTGTCGTCATGCCTCATGCCCTCTGACGAATGAGTCTACTGTTGCCTGTGCTGGAGATGTGCTATGAGAGACCTGCCGATAGTTTTCCCTGTGCTGAAAATATTCTCTGAATGGCGTGCATCGACAGGTGCCTGAGGGCTAAGGACGTTCCATGTGGAAGGATCCGGCAGCTGCTTGAGTGCGTGAGACAGGGGACACCGCACCAGTCTGCGGGTTGTCACACACCCGACGTCAGCACCCTCATGGTCCGTTCCATGGACTCATCTGGCGGTGTTGCGAAACATGACAGTTGTTTGGTTGCTTAGGAGCATTCTCGGAAGCGGACAACACTGCTGGCTTTAGAACGGGATCCGGCTAATATGATCTTACGAGCGTGTGGCCCAACAATCTACAGGTGCGGCTTAGCTGGACTTGCAAGCACGCTTTTGCAAAAGTGTTGCAATGTAGCCGTTGCTTGTGGTGCAGTTAAAGGACGTGACCGTTTGGTAAAAAATAATCACGCGCTGACTGACATGGCGTGGTTTAGCAGAGGGATGGACGAGAGACATGGACTGATGACAGACAGACTACAGACATGGACGAGAGACATGGACTGATGACAGACAGACTACAGACATGGACTGATGGGCACGATTTAACTTTTTGAAATCCTTCCGTGCTAGAGGCAGTGGTACCAGACCGTCTTGGGAGGCGTTCTTCGCCGACAGAACCTAAACGTCGTGCCTGGTCGGGCACATACCTTCGCTCTCTGTCGGATGGTGTGGTTTGTTTCGGCGGCTGGTGCGGTCAGAGGATCAGAGGAGGGTTGGGGGGCGGCCTAGGCGCCGCGCCGCCCCCTCCGGCCGGCGCGTCGGGAGCACTCTCCACGGGCGCGACGCTGGCTGCTCCGCTGCCGCGCGGCACGCGCTCTGTCGGCGCCGGCGGCCGACTGACGCCGCCGCCGCTGCCGCCGCTGCCGCCGCCGCCCACCACCGGCCGCCGCCGCCGAGATAGAAAGTGACGCCCGACAGATCAGCCTGCTCAGCAACCGGAGCGCGAGATGTCAGGGGATGCGGCCGATGGTCATCAACCGGAGCCGGACGCGAGGTCGGGCCGCGAAGATGCCCATTGGAACCGAAATCCACAGGCGTTGCGCCAGTCCTATCGGTCCCGACGTGCGCCCGCGTGCATTTCCCCAGTCATCAAACCATGCTGCACCTGTATGCTGAGCGTGGTTGTGAAGAGAGCAAGTCTGATCGACGTCATGGAGCCCTCATGCTTTGCTCAGCTTCCTGGCTCGTCCGCAGTACACAGGCTGCTGAAGTGGGGCTCTGCGCCAGTATAACTGTGCAGAGCCCCGTGGTTCGTCCGTCTCTAACGTTGACTAGCAGGTCAGGCACGATCACCAGTAAGAACTACCCCTGATGACCGTGTGGGACTCTTCAGGGCATTGTCGGCGACGCCCGCCTCCTACACTGAGCGCCAGCGCGGCCGGCGGCGGCTGTTCCCCGGCGTGTCTGGGCGGTGCCTTGGCGGCGCGTTCCGTTCGTGGGCGCCGCTGCAGTCTCGGCCGCTGGGCCGGCGGCTCGGCGGCCGGGTCGCGTGCCTCGCCACGGTGGTCGCATCGGCGTCCGGCCGAGCCCCGGCGCGGGCCCGGGTCACCGCGCCGCCGGTGTTGTCCGGCGGCGCGGTGGACGGCGGCGGCGTGACGCCCCTTGCCCCGCTCAGGTGGGGCTGATCGGAGGGTCACCCGAGCGTCGAGCGCGGCCTCGCGGTGTGACGAGCCGGCCGGAGAAGACGACCGGCTCGACGCACCGAGACGGACCGGCCCGATTCAGCCCCTTTGAGCGATGAGGCGTGAAAACCAAACCACGCAACACGAAGTCATTCGTTGAGGCAACGAATGACCTCTTGAATTTGGTATTAATATCAAGCGTGTTTAGCTGGAATGACACTCACTAGACTGCGACAAGGTATATTTATAACGTGGCGCCATAAAAAGCTTTGAAAACCATACGGGTGCATTGACATCTACAGCAGGGCACTGTATGGTTTTACACGCTATCTTACGCCAGCAATTTGGCCTAAGATGCTGGTATTGGAAATCACTACCTGGAGACTAGGGTAATACATGGGAAGAAGGGACAAAATATGATGTTTTGACGTCAAGAATGCTGAAGTGAAAGGGATTTATATGTTGCAGTGGTGTTGATTTAACGGGGATCTCTTGGGAGTTGCGGCGAGGGAGTTTAGACGTCGCTTTGGCCTTGGCTCTTGCCATCCACCGTCATAGATTTCATTTCAGCGTTTTAAGGGACGACGGTAATGCTCCTCCCCGCTCGCCGCGCCCTGCCCCCCCCCCCCCCCTTCTGCCCTGCTTTGTCCTCCTGACGTACGTCAAGTCTCGTCGCGTGTGGCCGTGTATTGTGCAATTACACGCTCTGTCACACCAGGCGAGGGAGGGATGTTTCGTCGGCGTCATTACATTTGGATCGTGCTGCACAGATTTCGGCTTCTATTTCATGGATAGTGCGGCATAGCGTGTGTGGCGAAACTAAATCATCATTTATCACGCACCTCTGGGCCAACCCTACAATCAGAGCTACATTTGTAAATAAAAACTGGCGTCTGCCGTTCCGGTTGTGCGGACCGTGCGGCCACGGCCGGGTCGAGCCACCAGCCTTTTACCGGCCATTACCGCCAGGTGGAGACTGGTGGTTACCTTTACAGCGTTCGGCGTCCCTAGAATCTCGCGCTGCTCCACGACGAACCTCGTGACCGCTGCCGACTCGAGCAGAGAACAACCAGGGACGGCGGCGGTACGCTACCGGAGAGCGGAGGACAGTCCGGGACGGCGGCGGTACCGTGCCTGAGAGCAGAGAACTGCCTGGGGCGGCGGCGGTACGCTGCCGGAGATCGGAGAACAGCCGAGGACGGCAGCGGTACGCTGCCGGAGATCGGAGAACAGCCGAGGACGGCGGCGGTACACTGCCGGAGAGCGGAGAACTGCCGGGCGGCGGCGGTACTACTGCGAGAGCGGAGAACTGCCTGGGGCGGCGGCGGTACACTGCCTGAGAGCCGGAGAACTGCCGGGGACGGCGGCGGTACGCTGCCTGAGAGCGGAGAACAGCCTGGGGGGCGCGTACACTGCCGGAGAGCAGAGAACTGCCGGGGACGGCGGCGGCACTGCCGGAGAGCGGAGAACTGCCTGGGGCGGCGGCGGTGCACTGCGGAGAGCGGAGAAAGCGCCTGGGCGGCGGCGGTACGTACCTGAGAGCGGAGAACAGCCTGGGGCGGCG